TGCTTGAGGCCGGGCACGCACAGCCTTTTTATGAAAGGTTTTCTGAGGATTAGCTACGCTGTTAAAAGCCCTTAGTGGTCACCCTTACCCAAGGAGACGGAAATCAGTAAGGTAGGGTGAGGTGTGACATTTTTAGGGTCGACCTTTTCTAACACCTTCCTTCCTTGTGAAAAGGCAGCATCGCTGCAGATGCTGGTTATCTGAGGGAAACACCTTTCTGCTGTCACACTCCTCTGCAGTCAGCAGTTCGACTTCGCCCTCAGACCTTGAATAGCTGCTTTCAGTCTGATCGTTCTCCAGTCGACCTGCCTGACATGGTATAATCTTCAGGAACATATGTTCCAACCAGTATAGCTCGGTTGGGTCATGACGATAGGCAAGCCCGACCACCACATCAAGGTAGCAGCTACGGTCGGGGTAATCTTACTATATATTATCGTATTATACAGATTGTTGTTTTACATTGAAATCGTCAAAGAATCAGTGTTGACCAGTAGTATAAAAGTACCTACCTTAAAGCATTGGACGGCAGTTTCGTCCTAGTATGATTACTCAACAGCAGTGCGCACCCACGACTCACACGAATGATTCATTTATGTGAAATGACAATCTCCATAATACTATAATGTAAAATCAGAAAAATGTGCTCACTGGGGACTAGTTTCGTGAGGAAATTCTCGGCGTTATAGTGAGAAGACGTGATGAGTGCAGTTTAACCCTGTCGAGTGTAGGCAGTAACTACCGAACACAATGGGTGAGGTTGAGCAAAAATCCTTGAATCGATCATAATTCGAGATTAACGCCGTTGAATGCCGGATCAGCGGTCCAGAGGTGAGCGTTCGCGCGAAAGACTGGATGTCATGGGTCCGAATTATGCTAGTAGTAGGAGTCATGAGTGCGCACAGCTGATGAGTCCCATACCAGGACTAAGTAGCTGTTCACTGCTTGTGGGTTTCTAATAGTGGTCTAACGATGATTCATTTGTGATTTCAATGTACCCTGGCTATTTTATTCAATCATATTGAATTGTATCGATTGTGTTAAGCGAATTTTTTGTCTATTTGATTAATATATTCTTTTTTAATTATTTCAAAATTGAAGTAATTGTTGTTTGTTCAGTATTTTGTTTTAAGTTATGACTGTTGAATTAAACTTTGCTTTCTTACTAGTCACATTTCATAAAAACCCTATCTTCTCTCTCTAGCAAGTAATATGATCAGTAATAAGACTCAGTCATGAACATTCAATCTTTTCTAGTAGTGTAGATGTTTCATTCAACCTGAATATTTTGTTTTAACTATTCATCTGTTCATGTTTACCCGTCTGAATCACTGACGAGTGGACTGAGCCATGTCGGTAATTGTCGACTACCTGGTTGGGGTCCGCGAGATGATAATAATCGATGGTTAGAGACCTTGAATGACATGGCTCAAAATCGTTCGCAATGGAGCCGGTGCATTTATTCTTTGTGTTCTCTCAAATCCTAATCTTCTGGGTTCTTCAACCCCTCTAGTTTTGACTTTCTAAACTTTTCTCACTGAATCATATTTCTTGAATAATATCTTCTAATCCTAACCTCTCCGATTACTTCTAACACCTTTACTACCTCTTCTCCTATTGGATTTGAATTGACAATTACATCTCTGTGCTGATGTGGTATAGCGACATGAACTGATGTACTTACGTACGAAGTTCTACGTTGCATCTGATTGTCTGAATCATTTCAAATTTTTTGTGTTAGGTGAATTTTTTAATATGAAACATTATAACTAAAAGTTGTTAAATAAGTTAATTTTACTGAAATTTTATTATAAAGTACAATATTTGGAAGATTTTGTAACTTTTTAATCCTTAAAATGTTCTAAATAATGACTGTAATATGAATAAATATCACTTTGCTGTACTTATTGTTTTGGAACTCAATCTACATCATCAGTTGAGGTGGTTGGGACATGTGTTAAGTATTCCCGACCATCGACTGCCTGGATAAGCTATGTTTTGTGGTGTAGAAATAGGTTGGAAGAAAGTTAGGGGCGGCCAAATCAAAACATGACAGAAATCCAAGAAGTTACTGACAAGTGGACTGAGTCATGTTGGTAGATGTATACTACCTAGTTTGGGTCCGCGAGACGAAAGTCACCGATGGTTAGAGACATGGCTCAGAATCGTTTGCAATGGCGCAGGTGCATCCAGTCTTTGTGTGCTTTTTAATCCTGACTTTCTGAATTCCTCATAATTTCTACCTTTCTCCTTCTAAATTTATCTCACTGAATTATACTTCTTGAATCATATCTTCGCTCCCTAATCTTCTCCATTACTGCTAATAATTCTACTATCGCTATCACTCTTGAATTTGAACTGACAGTCAGGTCTCTGTGCTGACGCGGTATGACAACCTGAACTGATGTATTTACGTACCAAGTTCTACATTGTAACTGACTGACTGACAGAAGGGTTCGAAAGTTGTTCTTAAAGTGAACCAATCATTTCAGTTTAAACACTAGATGAATACCATGACTCTCATGCAAACAAAGGGAAAAAGTCATATCGAAACAATACTAGGTTTGTTAAGACTTACCAAAGGCTATTGAAAGAATTTTCTGGATGTTTAGGAAAATGAAAAACGTATTTCATGTGACCAGTATCCTTCGAAAACTCCGAAGAAAAATCTATAAAACTACTCAATATGCCTGTCTGTTTACTAAATATGCTGACAATATAAGTAAATTCTCCCTCAAGATTACCTACTATTACTATAAATACCCTTGCTTTCTGCATATATCAAACTTCAAAATTAGACTTCATTTTTCCGCAATCTCCCATTATTCTGTTGAGTGTTAAGAAAAAAAAGGTTCTTGAATGAACAAGAAATTAATGTTAATAAGAGAGAGTTTACGTAACAAAGTCGATTACCTTCTTACACATTATTATCAATATCACAAATTGAAATAAGGACTTCTGTCAGTCAGTTATGACGTAAAACTTCGCACATTAATACATAAGTTCAGGCTGCTATAACCCATCAACACAGAAACTCAACTGTTAGTTCAAATCACATAGCGGAAGTATCAGCAGCAATGGAGAAGATTAGGGTTCGAAGATATGATTCGAGAAGTATAATTCAGTGAGACAGCTTTTGAAAGAGATGAGGTATTCGCTTTAGAATTTGAGAGAACACCATGAAAGAATGCACCTGCGCAATTGCAAACGATTTTGGGCCATGTCATTGGTCACTTTCGTCTCGCGGACCCCAACCAGGTGGTAGTCGACACCCACAGACATGACACAGTCCACTTGTCAGTGACTTCATGCATTTCCGTCATGTTTTGATTTGGCCACCTCTAGCTATCTTTAGACCTACTACTACACCACAAAACATCGCTCATCAAGGCAGTCGAGCATGCGTAATTCATGTCCCAACCACCTTAACTGACGAAGTTTAAATACTTCACCACCCATTGATCTGTCATCCTTACCTAACACTCGTTTCCTAACTAAAGCATTGCTTACTCATCTGTCCCAGGATATACGAGCAATGTTTCGAAGACATCTATAATCGAATACGAATAGCCTACGGATGAACTCGTCCTTTGGTTAGCAAACGGATACCTCATCTGCGCCATAAGTGACGCAAATTGGCAGAAGCCAATCGAGCCTTCTATATCCGAGCTGAGATTTCGTCAGTCACCAGGCCATCAGCACTGATGAGACTCCCCAGATAAGTGGAGCAGTCTACACGCTCGACTACTTCACCCCCTACCACTAGTTCAGGTGCCGATGCAACTCAATCTTGAAGCAACATTTTACATTTCGACGCGGAGAACCGCATCCCGAACATGCTGGCATTGTTGATCAGGGTAGTCAGAAGATCCTGCATTTCGTCAGCGTCTTCACCAAATAGGACAACTATATCATTAGAAATAAGGACTTCAGCAAAATTTAATCATATTATTTATTGTAGGAATTTGGACAAGAGATATACAATATATTTAATGAAGAATTTAATAAAAAAAGATATATATATATATATATTTATTTATATATAAACAATTGAGCTTGTATACTACAGATTACATCCATCCTAAGATCATTACTTATAATAATAATAATAATCAAACAATAATATCAACAAATTTCAAAATGAACAAAATGAGAAAGAATGCACATAGAACTATTGAATTAATTTAATTCATCATAAAAGAAATTTTGTTTAAATATACATTTGGTCGAACTAATTAATTACTGACAATTATTAAACAAAAATCAACTGGACCCATATAAATTTAAGAAGGAAAAACAAATACAAATGAAAACAAGATGAATAGTAGTAGTAGTGGTAGTAGGTAAGTGTTTTTGTAGTTTTTAGGAAGCACAAAAATTACCTGGTATTTTGATAGATATTGGAATAAAAGAGTATTTCTGATAGAATATATATATATATATATGTATATGTATATATGGCTACCATAATCAATGTAACGATGTCAAGTTCGAATAATCAATGTGTGCACATCATGCCTAGTTCATTTCAATCAATGTATGATGATGAACTGAAGAGGAATGGCAGAGGATTCGTTGAATTAGTCAACAAATGGAAAACTGAGGAAAAGAATAAACAAGAGTAGTAGTAGTAGTAGTAATATGAAGGAGAATAACTTTCAGTAGAAAAAAAATGTTAGGAATGTTATGAAAATAAACGATAATAATACCTAACTAACAGATATTAGTGATTTTTATATACAATGTACACATTACGTATATATATATATATATATATATATATATATATATCATTTGTGTATTGACGTATAACATGCATGTTATTTTACTTAATGTAGTACTAGTAGTAGTAGTATTAACGCTTTGAAAGAAGTAGAACAGTACTAGAATGAATAATACTTCAAGATATGACAGTACAGTTAAAATCAAAAATACACAACATGGTACCTTGTGTTTCAGTGTTTTGTTTAGTAAACTATTTGGATGATTTATTATTTCTCTACATTAGAAAAAAAACAACTAAACGAAACCAAGATAAGTCATATATATATATGTATATATATATATATTCATGGTTGAAATTAAGTAATGAGTTGAGTTGATATGGAATTTTATTTAAATGAGATAAATTTTATTTTAAAAAGTATTAAATCTATTTTTTGATATTTTACATGAGAATCACAGTGAACAAGAAGAAATTGTGCAATGATTACATAATACTACATTTAGCATTTGAACCTGTTGCTACAGTAGTAGGAGTGATAACATTAGTATTAGGTACTATTACACATGGATGTAGTGTTGTTGCACAAGTTGGACCACGACGTTGTACAGGTGGTGGTGGTGGTGGTGGTACAGTAGTGATACGTGATCCAGTTGATAATCCAGAGAGATGCGATGTTACAGAATGGTGCTCTAATTTATTATTACTTGGTTGACAACCATACATCATCAAACGTGAATTGATTGTTTTTGTATGTGGCTGACATTGAAGTGAACCACTGAAAGGTGCATATTTTGTAGGATTCTTATTTGATGGTTTTGTGGTTGTATAAGCATTATTGGTAGTATTATTATTATTATTATTATTCATGATATCATTGTTTTTAGGTTCATATTTACAAACTGGTAAATATTTTGGTGTAGTGATTGCTTGTATTTGTTTTGCTCCTGGAACGTTATCTTCTTCTTCTGCGGCTATTTCATCATCATCATCGTCGTCATCCTCCTCCTCCTCCTCCTCTTCTACGCCTTTACCTGATTCTCTGTCTTGTTTAATCGTATCACTACCAATTGTTGCATCATTGGATTGGAATATTTGAGTTGATTTTCCTGACAAGTTGTGCAGCTGTTGAGTATCATTTGAATAGCATTGTTGTTGTTGTTGGTGGTGAGGATCAAGTAAGTGAGTAGTACGTTTATCTTCTGTACTTTGTTTACTTGATACATGATTAGAAGATTGATGTTTCACAGGTTTCTGTCGATAGTCTGCATTGAAATCACTGAAATCAGTCAGTTCCGGTTGAATTTGCAATGGAACATTATGTACAGCAATATCTTCAGGAATTCGATTAGGTGCATTCAACCGACCGAAACCAACACGTCTTAAACGTCCAGCAGACATAGCGGCACGTAACCTATGCAAGAATAATAAAAAAAATTAGGTTATAGAAAGGATTCGATACAATATTAGCAAAATTATAAGTTAATTGATTGTATAGAATACAGACAGACAGATACAACGCTGAACTTCGTACATAAGTACATCAGTTCAGGTTGTCATACCACGTCAGCACACAGGCGTAACTATCAGTTCAAATCCAAGAGTGATAGCGATAGTAGAATTATTAGCAGTAATGGAGAAGATTAAGCAGCGAAGATATGATTCGGAAAGTATAATTCAGTGAGATAAACTTAGAAGGAGAATGGTAGAGATTATGGGGAATTCAGAAAGTCAGAATTAAAAAGCACACAAAGACTGGATGCACCTGCGCCATTGCAAACGATTCTGAGCCATGTTATCCAAGGTCTCTACTCAATGGTGACTTTCGTCTCGCGGACCCCAACCAGATAGCCTACATCTACCAACATGACTCAGTCCACTTGTCAGTGACTTCATGCGTTTCTGCCATGTTTAGGTCTGGCCGCCCCTAGCTTTCTTTCAAACTACGCCTACACCGCAAAACATAGCTCGTCGAGGCAGTCGGTGGTTCGGCATACGTAAAACATGTCCCAACCACCTCAACTGACGAAGTCTCATTACTTTATCTATTGATATGCCATCCTTACCTGGAACTTGTTTCCTAACAATAGCATTGCTTGCTCAGTCATCCCAGGATACACGATCAATGCTTCGGATATACCTATGATCGACGAATAGTAACCTACGAATGTCTTCTACTCTTAACGGCCATGTTTCGCATCCATATAGTACGACAGAGCGAACTGCTGCTCATTACACTCGTCCTTTGGTTAACAAGCGGATATCTCGCCTGCGCCATAGGTGACGCAAGTTGTCAGAAGCCAGTCGAGCCTTCTGTATCCGTGATGAGATTTCGTCAGTCACCAGGCCTTCGGCACCGATCAAACTCCCCAGATAAGTGAAGCCGTCAACACGCTCGGCTACTATCACTAGTTCAGGTGCCGATGCAACCCAATCTTGAAGCAACATTTTGCATTTCGAGGGTGAGAACCGCATCTCGAACATGTTTGCATTGTTGCTTAGGGTATTCAGGAGACTTTGCATTTTGTCAACATCTTCACCAAGTAGGACTATGTCATCGGCATATTCTAAGTCGATAAGCGAGCCAGCAGGTAAAAGTTCTACTCCTGAAAATTCAGACGACGATAAGCTTATATCTAGGAGCACTTCTGTGATAAAAGTAAACAAGAATGGAAAGAGTGGACATCCCTGACGGACACCACTTGAAGTGAAGAATTCCGGTGACAGTTCGCCATAAGCTCTCACTTGACCAGTGGTGTTCGAGTAGAGAGCTTGTGTAAGGTTAATGTACTTCTTTGGTACATCTTTCAATGACATACACTGCCACAGAACCTCGCGATCCACTGAGTCGAATGCAGCCTTTAGGTCAAGGAAAACAACTATTGTAGGACGCCTAAATGTGTGTCTGTGTTCCAGGACCTGTCGTAGTGTGAAAATGTGGTCTATACAACCACGTCTAGGTCTGAAACCAGACTGGTTTTCTCTAGTCTGCTCTTCACGAGCTTTCGTTAAGCGTCGAAGTATTATTGAGGCCAATATTTTAGATACTATATTAGTTAGACTTATTCTCCTGTGATTGTCACAAGAAGACTTTTGTCCTTTCTTATAGATTGGGACAATCGGGGATTGAGACCACTCGGATGGGATTATGCCCAGTCCCCAGATTCTACCTAAGATCTCAGTCAATCTAGCTACCAAAACTGGAACACCATTCTTAAATATCTCAGGGGTCAGCCTATCAGGACCTGCAGCTCACACTCGCTTCAGATTTCCTAAGGCTTTCTCAATTTCATAAAGAGTCGGGGAGCTTACGTCGATTTGCCATTCAGGATGACTGGAGATCGTGGGTAACCGAAGAGTGGCTCGAGGCCAGTTAAACTGATCCCTAAAGTGTTCTGCCCATCGGTGCAGTCTCCTGGATTGAGAATGGATAATAAGACCATCCTTTTCCGAAATAGTCTCACTCACATTTGAGTTCCTAATACCAGTTCCCTTGATAAGTCGGTACAACTGTCTGTTGTTGCCTATCGCCGCTGCCTTTTCCATCGCTCTTGCTTTCGCCACCCACCACTGTTCGCGGTCGTTGTGTAGCCTTTTTATCAGCCTGCGCTTAAGGTAACTTCGCTCTTCATCATGTTCAGAGCCAGGTGGGATGTGCTTTCGAACATCCATCAGTTTGGTAGATGCTACTGAGATCTATGGCTTCTTCCAAGCCTTATGATTTACCTTACTACCAGATTTCACTGCTGTTTCCACAGCTTTTTTGATATCGTTCCGAGCTGCCTCTGGAGGAGACCGCTTACATAGTTGCCTAACTCTCTTTCTAGTTGCTCCTGGAATATATTCTTAGCCTCATTATCATTAAGTAGAACCCTAAGAGGCCTCCTTGCGGTGTCTTTCCAACGTACAGCAAGCCTCAAACAAATACGCGCTCGCATTAGGGCATGATCTGAATCTAAACATGTGCCCCACAACGAGCGACAGTCCTCCATCGGTGGCTGATGGCGATGTGATCTAGTTGGGTCCAACGTTGAGACGTCTTCAGGGGTCGCAAGGTCAACAGATGTTTTTCCTTATGCTTAAAGTTAGTGTTTGCTAGAAATAGTTGGTTATCTGAGCACAGTTGCAACAGACGGTCGCCATTGTCTGTTCTCTGAGCCGCGACACCATAACATCTACCAAGGTGTCTCTCCTGCTCACTTAGTCTACCTACTTGAGGATTAAAGTCACCAATCATTATTACTACATCGGAGGAGGTTCGAAAACTTTCTATAAAACTCATCTTTCACCTCGTCTGAACTGCAGTAAGCGTGGGCATAGGCAGATACGACGAAGAGGCAACGACGGGTGTCCCTATCTTCTCGAGTCCTTACTGTCCCGTTTAGTAGGACGGCGCACAATCGACTATCTACAGGGATCTAGTCTGGGAGAGCTAGTTCTGCCCTAGGATTCAATACTATACCTACACCAGCGACACCCCGGGAAGCAGCATCAGGGTTACCTGATACACGAAGAGTAAATCGGGATGCTTATTTATGTTGATAAGGTGAAATGAGATTAATGATTTTACTAGGATCCTGTATGCGTGTTTTCGAGACGCAGCATACATCGATTGAGCGAGATTCTGAAGTCCTAGATAATGATGCCTGTTGCCCTATTTGACACAATGTCCGTACATTAAATGCTCCAACATGTAGTCTAGAACGGGGTTTAAGGAGACCAGGAACGACGTTTCGCGAACTCGCATCGTTTGCATTAGCTGTGCACTGTGATAAATGAATGTGAGAAGAGTTAGTCGTGGAGATAAGAGAGGTACTAGGGGGTGTAGGAAGGATTTGATTTTGACCAATTTGGTCTCGTGCGCTGTTACGGGTATGAGGGCGGTTGTCACTCCCCGGCTGCCCACACCATGGAAGGTTGTTTCTTGAGGGACCTGAAAAGGAAGATAGATTAGTGTTGGTCTTAACGACCTGGGAGCGTGACCGCAGTCCAAGGGACAACTGCTTGAGGCCGGTCACACACGGCCTTTTTATGAAAGGTATTTTGAGGATTAGCTCCGTTCTTAAAGGCCCTTAGTGGGCACCCTTACCCAAGGAGACGGAAACCGTGAGGTAGGGTGAGGTGTGACATTTTTAGGGCCGACCTTTTCTAACCCTTCCTTCCTTGTGAGAAGGCAGCATCGCCGCATTTGCTGGTTGTCCGAAGGAAACACCTTACTGCTGTCACACCCCTCTGCAGTCAACAGTACGACTTCGCCCTCAGACCTTGGGTAGCTGCTTTTAGTCTGATCGTTCTCCAATCGACCTGCCTGGCATGGTAGAACCTTCAGGAACATATGTTCCAGCCAATATAGCTAGGTTGGGTCATTACGATAGGCAAGCCCGACCACCATGTCAAGGTAGCAGCTACGGTCGGGCCGTTGATATTTTAACTACATAGACTTTCATTTTGTAAACAGATTACATTATTATCATGATGACTACTATTATTATCAGGTACAACCAATAAGGTGACAAGCAAATTATAGAGTTACATTTGCAGTAGTACAAAAAAAAAATAAGAAATAAAAAACTAAAAATCATAAATCAATAAATTAATTTACTTACCCATGTCTTCGATGACGACTTGGTAAATTATCTGTCCAATTATCTCGTAAACTATCCTCACAGACACTCGGTGCCACATACGAAAAGCCCTGGTAGGACAAATAAACATGAGTAGATGGATGTGTGGATGCTTTGTAAGTTAAGTGTGTATGATTATTTATGTCAGATTACCCATCACTAAAGAATTTAGAAACGAAGTAAAAGTATTAATTAAATATTTAAAAAAATCATTAAAACGTGGTGATGATGTACATATTTATAGTAGTTTACTTTTTCAATGAATTAGCGCATTATATAAGATCTCTGTTGTTGTTTCATGTTTATCTAGTGGGTTGTTGAAAAAAATGAAGTTTTAATGATGCAGAAAAATTGATTATTTATTGAAAATGTGTATAATTACACTTTAATCTAATTTTAAACTAATGTTAAACTAATCTTTTATATTTACTGTTAGTTAACCTGTCTGTCAGAGTTCATTCTTCTTCTACTCATTAAAATTTCTCATCAAGTTGAGTAAATCACTTGAACAATATCGCTAATTACCACCACCAGCTATGTGGACAACAAAAACTAATGAATTATTTTAAATTAATTTAATTATACAATGCATTTTTAATTTTTTAAGCCAAAACTAGAATTGAATTCTGTTGATTTATTTTAACCGTTTCTTTCATATGTTCAGTGTTGTAACGGTTGTCTTAAGATATTTCCCGGCCAAATCTTATTGCTTAGTATTCTTGACGCAAAACACTGGACAAGTAACCCAAATCAAAACACGGTTGAACAGGAAGAATTGTATTCCAAAAATAGCAAAGAATAAGAAGCTGGTGATGGCGAAAGCCAAGGCAAAGAAGGCAATAATAAATACAATGCAAGTCTATTTATAGCCTTTACATGAGAAAGCTTCTGGAAGAATAATAATAATCAATTTTCCGTCATATTAAAATACTTTTACAAAATAGGTTGAATTTTTAATGTCTACAACTGACCCGTACCCACTAATCTAGTTTAAGAGTCAGATATTCACTTGTTGTCCTGTCAATTTCTGAAACAACAACCTCGACAACAGAAGGGAATGAGTAGGATTTCTTTAGCATTAGTTTTATACGCATGATCATACGAGAGCATTTGAGAGGGGGGTGGACTCTTCCCACTCTCGGTCGTACGAAGGGCATTTGGGGATCAGGATGAAAAACAACAAATGGAACTTTGTTTCAACAATAAAGTAGATGAGTGTTTTAAACATTTATGAATCAAAAGGAATTTCTGAATAGTGTGATTTAGGCCTTTACAATCAAACGAACTAATGTGTTAGAAAAGATTTTACAATGACTGACTTTTAGTTATGTTCCATCTTAATCAAGGTGCACATTAAATGCTATAGTGCAGAACAGTACAAAACAAATCAGGGATTATTCAAACCGACTTAGTGTTTGAAAATTTTGTTTATGAATGATAGTGTTTACTTACTACTTGTCAAGAGAGTTTATGGGCATATTTTGTGAAAAACTGACCTGGAACATATCCGGAGGAATAGATGCAACACCATCAACAGGACTAACGACTGGTTGTAAACGAGTGAACGATGGGTCGAACATTGACACATCATTTTCAGCAGTTAGTTTCGGACGGAAAGGTGGTTTCAAACGTCTGTTATAGACATCAGACCAATTTATTTCCTGTAAAAATAAATAATCTTTCAGTATACTAGCTGACAACTTGCTTCTAACTATAGAATAAACCTACATAAATTACGTAGGATTATATAATGAACAATGAAGCCTATTAACCATAAGAAAATATGTACAAAGTTGTCAGCCTTAATTACACAAAAATTAGAGATATAGTTGAGTTGGTTAAACATAAGTAGATGACGTTAGGTTTAAAACTTTAAAGGCAAGCCATGAAATGATACCAAGTATAAAAGCAGTTCATACTTAAACCAAAAGCTGAGTGTAAATGCTGTAACAGCTGTTTCATTTACTATTCAGATGTCACTATCCTCAGAGAAAGAATCACTTAAAATCAATTTTAACAAGCAATTATATTGAAGTGAGCAATGTTTTTATGAAACTGCAAAGTTCTACGTTGCCGTTGATGATGATGATGAAACAGAGTGGATAACAGGATTGCAAAAGTTAACAAACATAGTTGAAGGTTTGTGTAGAACCTGACTAAAACACGCCACATGAACGATGTGACGCAAAAAAAAAGCTACTACTGTTAATGGAAGACCCGAAAAGTTCACTTTTATTTGATCTTTTTTCATTCTACGATAAAGTTTGTATACACCATCAGATGACATAACACATGCATAATAGATTTTCATAAATTAGGCGATCAACTATCCATTAACCGGAGATAGTAATGAGCTGCGTTAAAGACAGATGACATTCAATCATCGAGTTGCATGTTCAACCTTTGTTTTACCCACTGCAATCCAGGCAGTAGGAAAGTATTACTAACGGTTACTTAAGCGTAGTCCGGCTTTAAGACTGCAAAGCAAACCTGTACTAGTTCAACAGGCTATTCGTTAAATTAGATTATTGAAGAAATGAAAAGTATTTCACATTTAGTTTAATACAAGAAAACAAACAGGCTGACATATATGTAATATTTTATCAGCATATCCATCAAGTTAAGTAAAGGCTTGATTAAACAGGGTCGTGAGATTCAGTAAGTCAGTTAAGATAGATGGTTGTTTCTCTACAAGTTGATTCAGAGAACGAGTTTGAGATATAAGTGCGAACAGATTAGAAAAAATTCAACAGTTACAAATTTGTATAATTTACAAACAAATAACTGATCGCACGTTTAATGAGACTCACATGTCTTTTGAAAAATTTGTGTCGTTTGATTTCCTCCATATCTTCTTTGCTGCCTAGTCTTTCATTTGGATCACGTTTTAACAAGCCACGTATGAGACTAATAACTTCCGATGAGAATGATGGCGGAAATTTTAGAGGAGCTGTGAGTATCTACAGGAAATAATTAATACAAATTAACCCTTACTTTGCGAGTGGTAGCTTCCCGACTTTCCTCTTGACTAAATGGTGGCTAAAACTTTACTCACATTAAGTAGGAGAACTTACTGCACCTGATAGCATATCATAGATTAACGTCCCAAGACTCCACCAGTCTACGGCTTTTCCATGACCCTCACACCGAATTATTTCAGGGGCCCTGAGTGGTGAGAAAGAATTTGGACTTACATATATTCAATCGTTCCACAGAATGTATTGGTAGTGCATACGCCCTCCTTTGAAAGTCCAAAGTCAGTAAGCTTCACATGGCCCTGTCGATCTAATAACACATTTTCCGACTTTAAGTCCCTATAGATTATACCTAGCGAATGTAAATGCCCGATGGCTAGGACTATTTCAGAAGCATAAAAACTACTCCTATTAGATAGCTAAACGTATTTCTTACCATGCAGCATTTTCTAACAAAGCTCCTTCACGTTCCAAGTAGTTAAACAGTTCTCCTCCATGGCAATATTCTAAGACAATATACAAGTTGGAGCGATTTTGAAAAGCATAATGAAGTTTCACCAGAAAAGGGTGCTAAGACTATTAAACAAGTGAAATAGATACCTGTAACATTTCAAGAATATTCCTTTCAGAAACAGTGTGTGCTTTATCCTTTTCATTGCATACCAATCTGGCCTTTTTTAAGACCTTCATGGCATACAGTTTCCCTTGGTCAATGCCGTCAACCTTTTGAACTAGAAAAACCTGCACACTAAGCCAGAGAAGCTCCACGAACCTTTCCGTAGCCTCCTTTGCCAATTACACGTTGAATTTTGAAGTTTTCAGCATGAACACGATTGTTCGGATTAACTGTCTTCTGACAAATCTCCACAGTTTCTTGAGTCATTATTTCACTGAAATTAGGGTAATGAACTCTTGTAAAACTCACTCTTTTCTCTCCAAACAGACTAAATCCTTTGACTATAAATAAAAAGTAAGTATTGGAAACTCAACCAACCAATAGATCGGAAGACTTAGAATTAATTTTCTCAGAGGGCAATAGATTGGAGCCTTCTGATTCATCATCTCTGTATTCCTCATCATTTTCAAGTTCAGCAGATAAGAAGTCAATCTCTGCCATGCCCTACAAGAGGGGTAACTGAAGAGAGGTCTAGCAACAAATACACATTTTCAAAAGTGCGCTATCAGCTTTATCCTTTTAACGAACTTGTATCCAATGCTAAATATCCAATACCCTTCTCACCGACTAGTATAAATTAATTTATTTCTTTGCTCACGATTCTTGTTCTTTCAGTACGGTTGCAGGTTCTTTGATATTGTACGATGGATAATAGTCTAGCCACTCCACCACATTAATTGTAATGCTAATGAGATTTCAGAACTATGTGAATAAGTGTATGCCAGGAAGAGGAAACAGATAATAAGCGAGACAGAATAAGTAAGTAATATGTGGAAATGACTATAATAAAAACTAGTGAGTTTCCAGACATTTGTCAGGCACAGCTGGTCAAAGAGGGGGATGATAATCCGTATATGAGTACGTGTTTATGAAGTTTCTTTTTGAAGCTGTGATCACCTCAGCTGGGAGAGCATTCGGGATTGCCAAAAACTGTTAACGGGGGTGTGCGCTTTTCGATTATTACCTCGAGGGGCATGGTGGTTATGCTTCTGAAAGGTGCTCATGTTGAGGTGATTCGGAGTACTTAATATGTTGTATATCTTTACCAGATAACGTCTGATTCTCTGGTATCTCAAACGAAATAATCTCAAGTTCCCATTTAGTTGCTTGTCTCTGCACTCGATCCAGGGGTTTAGTATCTCTTTTAAGGAACAAGGTGCGACGACTTCATGAACTTCAAGGTGTGGGCGCGCTTATGGATTGAAGGGAGTCAAGAACACTTATAAGATGGTTGCACAAAATTATCTGCAGATAAAACGAAGAGTTGCGTTAGCCTTGGTTGCATCCTCCATGTAGTTTTAAATGGGTTTTAAACCAACACTTTATGTTGTTTTAGTGCCGTTTCAGGAATTTGATAGTGTCCGGTGGGTGATGGTCTAGTTTGTCGACTGCATTAACTGTAGTAATTTATTTACAGTTCCAGTTAACGCATGTGTCTCAGGGCAGAAGGGTTTCTGGATGCCACTAGCTATCAAATCACCTGGTAGGAGCTCATTTGGTTGAAGTGCGGAGAATAATAAAGAAAATATTCTGATGTCAATGAGAGGAAGAGGGTTTTAGAAATTATATGAATACTGAAGCCAGTTATTTGGTAGTGCAGGTCTGAAGTACAAAGATAAAAGGGAAAACAAATATAATAAGTTAATTGAGATGATTTAGTGTTATGAAGTAGTCACAATGGTAATAACAGACGGGTTTTAGGGCATGCGTGAAGTACAGCTGCTTCAATAAAGAAATGGTAATCCATGTGTGAGTACAGGTCTATAATGTCTCTTCTCAAACTTACCCACTGATAAGGATGTGTCCACTTTCATTGGCGGAGCATCTCAAGTCCGAGAAACTCCCAGTGAGAAAAAGAGGAGCCTACTTCGGTGTTTACTTTTTGATATGAGTTTATTCGGGAGTACCCCATGAGTGTGGTGGTGATGCACGGGTAGAATGCTTGTGTTGGATGACCTTGGAGTACGTAAGATATTCTTAGCCACTGTTAGCTCACCTCTTGTTCTCCTGTGACTCAGCGCCAGTAGTCCCAAATATTGCAGTCTCTTTTCATAAGATTTATTATCTAACACTCTCATCAACTAAGTTGCTCGTCTCTGAAGTCGGTTTGAAAAATTTGCGTCTTCTCTGAAGTTAGGGGGTGCGAAAATATTGTTGACTTGAAACTGCTTTAAACACAGTTGTGAAATTTCCATCGTGGTTGCACCAAGTTTTTCTCGAATCAGGTACAGTTGTGTTGGTCCTGGATGTATTCCTCATGTAGATTGAGTCATTGTCCAAGCTCACTGTGGTTACTAGGCCAAGATCACAGTATGAGAGAACTTTAGCGGGCGAATCTAAGTTGTTTGTTTCATACGGTATACAATACTCTTGGCAAGACTTGTCAGCTTGTTGAGTTTTACACGATATGCACTGTGCATTCCTCTGTCATTGTTGGGTAATTTTGAAGCTCTGGTGGATCCTTTTCACTTCTTATGGACTTTTGGATATATCCGCCGTCCTCATAGATCGGTACTAAAGTCGTTCGGAATCGAAACCCATTATATTTGTTGTTTGCTTCATTCCTAAATGGACGCCAACGTAGCTGAACAACAAATACGCTACCGATTTTAACGTTTTGATCTTGCCTGTAAGTTGGCACGCCTCTTGTAACAAGTTGTTGTTTGAGAATAAATTATTATTATTATTATGATTACTCAAATCCATTACTTCTGTCGTAGATATTATTGCTGTTGCCACAGCTTTTCGTTGAACATTACATGATGCTTTAGGGTGTGTATGACCTACATCACTGCCTAACTTTCTTTCTAGTTGTTCCTGAAATTTCTTAGGTTTGCTGTCAATAAGTAGAATCCTAAGAGTTTTCCTTGGAGATTTTCCATTAAGTCCAGTAAGGCAGAGACACATACGCGTCCGTACTAGCGTATGATCTGGATACGCTCCAAAATGAGCGTCACTCTTCAATGGAGCCTCTCAACCGATGGCAGATAGCTAGTCGGGTCCGTCGTTGGGTTAGCTGTGGGGGTCGCCAGGTCGAGCGATGTTTTTCTTTATGCTCAGAGTTAGTGTTAACTAGAAATAATAGATTATTTGAGCATAGCTGTAGTAGGCGGTCTCTATTTTCTGACCTTTGAGCCACGACACCATAAGATTCACCCAGGTGTCTTTCCTTTTCACTTAGTCTACCTACTTGAGCATTGAAGTCACGAGTCATGATTACAATATCACAGCGCCTAACGTTTTGAATGTTAGAAAGGTTTCTTTAAAACTCATCTTTTATCTTGTCTGAGTGGCAGTCAGTGGAGGCCTAATCAGCGACAACAAAGAGGCAACGGTGAGTTTCCCTATCCTTAGGAGTCTCTACTGTCCCGTTTATTCGGACAACGCAGAAGCGACGGTGAACGGTTGGGTCATCACGATGGGCAAGCCCGACCGCCACGTCAAGGTGGCGACTACGGTTGTGGATGATTTAGTCCTTTAATTTGCATTGTGCCTACTTCAGTTTACGTACCCTACCCCTGGCTTTTTGGTTGAGATGAGGATCCACTGTTCTGAAAGATGACTTTGAGGGTACAGAAATGACAATGAAAATATGTAGTTAAGAAAGTAGTTCAGTTAGATTGTTGAATAAGAAATCAGAAGCTTTCTAAGTTAGCATCTTCATAATCTTTGTGTTGACAACGCGTTAGTGGATTCTGTTTGTTGCATATGAAAAGAAACAGTAGGGTGCCGAGTACTGTTTTATGATCTCTGGTGGTATACTTTTGGCAAGCGGCCACTGATGGTGGTGCGACATCATGAAAAAATATCTAGTCGGAAGTATTGTGATTCCTTGGAGGCGCATGTATTGCTGCTGACCATGAGTGACTAAGGAACTAAGCACGCGTTTGAAACACAATAGACTGTAATGTGTCTGCTCACTGATTCAAAGGAGGGTAAAATTACCAAAAACTATTTCTCAGGCGGACACAAAACAGGTAGTATTAGCAGACTACTCACCGATAGTTCTGTCAGTCGATCGATGAGAGTTTGGAACTCATGATATGTATCCAATAAGCATGTTACATTTCTTTTTCGTGCACACTAAGCCATATAGAATCGGGCACTTCATTAACGACAAGGTGGCTTCTAGATATATAACTGAGATAACCGCCACTCATTTTAGAGTCTCGCTCGCAGCGAGTACATTGGAGTCTATTAACTGGAGTGAGTCTAGGGACCGGAAGGTTAGCTATTTTTCGGTAGTCAGTTTCGTTTCCAATATCCAAGAGAGTAGTTGGAGTGCTTAAGGTTGAGTCATTGACAGATGTACCTGGTGGTCAGTCTGTCAGACCAAACATGAAGCTATTACAACTGAAATGGGTTGCTAGTCGTGAGGATTGGTTCTCGTCCATCACATCACAGCACACAGAGGATGATTTGAAAGAAATGAGAATATTGCTCTCAACAGTTGCAGAGACAGAAATAACTCTGTTATGTGGGTGAGAGTTAAAACATGTTATAGTACTTGTTTCGAAGGAGGGTGCCCAAAAATGTATGGGGTAGTTTGACGAGGGTGGTGCCTGTAACAACAGGCAGGTGCCTAAGCAGATGGTTGTAGGGTGTGTAATGTTTCCGAAGAGAATTTCCATTGGTGTAGTTTGTGAGCTGATTGTACTTAGGATTTTTACTATATGGACAGTGTCTGTTCAAACTTAACTTGACAGAAGAAGATCGTAGAAAGCTACGGGTGGGTGCAGTATTTCTGGGGCACTGAGAGCATAAGCCGAAGATCGCAGTGACAGTTATAATTAAAATATAACGGCGTGTGCAAGAAAAAAGGTTAGCCTATATGTACAGTTGACCTCCAGTAAAACGACCGCGTTAAAGGTAGTTTGATAAATACTCCACTATTTTTGGAATGGGCAATCGTTTGGCCTAAATATTCCACCCATTCATGCGTCCCCTCAGTTGAAGGTCACTTTAGATTCGGCACTAGTTGAAAAAGTAATTTCCATGACATCCCAAAGATCTACGCCTAAACACTCCTCCCTAATCCGAGTGAGTGTTAAGAAACCATGATAAGTTAGGACAGCTGCTGGAACTTTACTCGGAAAGTCCCAAAGCTCACTCACTGACTATCCAACTCGATGTAATGAACGCGGGCTTGATCCATTATGGAAAAGAAGGCTTAAGTCCAGTCTGACCCTCTACTTTAAACTCCTGAACAAGCTCACATATTCCTCCTGTAGTTTAGTCCTTATCCATAGCCCATGTACACATAACCTTCGAGATAAAGTATCTACGGTCAAACTTGAGAAGTATAGATCCAAAACTCGAGAAAACTTCTTC